TGCCAGAGGCCAGTGTACAAATCTGCGCTTTAATCTGTTCATTGAAATGTTTAAACCTATCATTTTTGTAAATATGTCCAAGAGACCCCGATCAGCCAGTGTCCCAAGTGGTGGGCAGGGTGGGGTCCTAACCCTGCCATTTTCTTCCCCATCTGGACCGGTGAACTCTTCTCCTTAAAGAAGGAAAAATAAGAACCAAAGTCCTTACATAAGAAACTTTTGGGAGTTGGCAGGAGGGGGGTTGAGGGGGGCGAAGAAACCAGTCTTTCTTGTTATCATTGAAACGTAAGGCTTTTTCTTTCTGCTCTAAAAACTCAATCTACAAAAACAGTGGGTGACGCCAACGAAATCACTTCAGGTGCTGGAAATGATTTCATTTTTACACCCTGTGATTAAAAGTCTGATAGCCAGGTGCTCAGGAGCCACATCACGTCTTCCTAAATAGGGATACAATTTGTAGGGAAACAAAACGCCCTGCCTTCCCCTCGCTTTGCGTCTGTCACTCAGGCAGCCAGGGGCAATGGTTTGGGGAAATGGGCCGCGGCAGGCAATTACCGCCGAGAACATCGGGTGTAATGGGCTCTGGGAGGCTTTGTACCTTTCCCCCGACGCTGCAATAACGGGGGCGGGCGGGAGCCACCTCCATCAGCGCGACGGGAGCTGTTCCGGAAAGGGTCAGGGGAGGGGGGCCCGTGTTCCCAAATAGCCTTGGCTGCACGGGCAGTGGGGAGCGCACGGTTTGGGCGAGAGCATCTTGTGACTCAGAAGGACGTCATCTCGGTGAAGAGTTGCCTGGTCTCTTTGGATGGAGCCTTTCAGAAACGGGTAACACCTCGGGAGTTATTTTAGCGGGCGTCACAACGTGTGAGGACCCATCAGTTAGTATCACCATAATGGCTAGAGTGCTGTTCAGGGGCCCATTACGTGGCGAAAGCAAGTGCATCTGAAGAAATGTGTTATAATGATGAATAAGGATGCCCCTCGGCTTGGTGATGAGGGATGTCGTGGGCCAGCCCCTTCCCGGCACAGTGGCCCTGGAGGGAAGGGCGTTGGCCCCTGTCCCCCAGAAAGGCAGTCACGAAGTCGGGGCTTCTTCCAGCCCAGCGCCCCTTCCACGGTCCCCCAGCGCCACTCTCCTGAGCGGAAGGAAGGAAGGAGGTGGGGGAGAAGGAAACTCTCAGTGGGAATAAAGTTTCCATTTCAATTATTTAGCTGATCCTTGACCCCCATTACCATGGATAATCAAAAGCTGGCTGGATGCATCATGTTTTAAATAAAAACATTGTTTAAGTGGCCCTGAGGACGTGCAGACAGATAATTGCATGGGGCACTGTGCAATTACCCTTCGTGGGGGGGGTGTACTCTTCTCTCTGCACAGAAACGGGAACAGCCGCCCTCGGCTCGGGGTCACACATCTGTGGAGTGCTCCTCTCCGAAGGGGCTCGGCAGGCACACCTCATTTCCCATCACATGGATGGTGATTACAAACCTCTTCTGATAGCAAGGAGAGTGTGCGGGGGACGCTAAGGGGGCCTGAACCCAAAGAGGAAGGGGCTTAAATGCCCACCTGAGTGTGCGTGTCCCCAAGGCAGCGTGCTGCAGAGTTCCCAAGAGCTGCCTCTGCTTAGAGGACGCTCCCCCAGCCCCCCACCCCCCGCCCCAGGCTTTCTGTGTCAGGCAGGGCCTGCCTGGGTTGTGAGCCTCTCGCTGCACCATCTGGGTTTGCCCCGGGGGAGCCAGGGATTTGATAGGACCTGTCGCTCCATGGTGTGGACAGAGGGCTGACCCTGTGCCCGCGGTGCAGAGATGAGGTGCTGGCAACACGCAGGACAGCTGGTGGGGAAGGGGTGCCCACGCAGGACAGGGCATGCGCTCGGAGTGCCCACCCCCCGAGCGTCTGCAGAGAGGAAGGGATGGCATCCGTCCTGCCTGGCCTTGCTCGGCCCGGGTTCTTCCCGCGCGTTGTTGAAATCAGCAAATCCACCTATTCTCACTCATTGGTTCAACACATGCTTTGGGGGCCATGACACTGCGCTACAGACGCTGTGCTAGGTCCACTCAGTGCTTTGAAGAGCGCCCTGGAGGCAGGGCCGAGAAAGGCAAGGTGGCGGGATGTGGGGACAGGGACGGCACCTGGGGACTAGCCTGGAAAGACAGTCTGGCAGCCACTGTGGACTCACAAGTTTGTGAGAATTGCTCCTTTGCAAGGAGGCTGGGCCAGTCCCCGGGCACTCTGGGGTGACAGGTGGCTATGCGCAGAGTTGTGAGAAGGGGACCGGCTGCAGCCTGTGCCTCTCCCTTCCTCTTTCTGCCACGGGACTGCACAGTCGGGAGGGGGTGGGGGAGGTCCTGGGACTGAACCCCAAAGGCAAGGGACCATTCTTTTCTCCTAGCTGCGCTTCTCAACAGGAACGTGTGCATGTGACTCTTTCCGTCTGGTGTTACCGGGACCCCCAGGATGTCTGAGGTCCTCTGGCTTTGCCACCGCTGCCGCTTCTAGCTGCACAAGGTAGCTTTGTTTTAGGGATCAGGCATCGAGGACTGTGGTGTTGCCTCGTGAAACTGACCCTTGGCAAGGGAACAATAGATCTTTGCTTTGTTTTCCTGGGATAAAAGAGGCTGGAGAAGGCAAGTTCAGCATTCTTTGGAAGTTATGTTTCTCTGCTTTGGGTGACTGTTGCCAGTGCTGAGCCCAGTGGTTCTCTGTTGCACCCGCTCTGAAAGGTTGATCTCATGGCGCTACGTTGGGGTTCAAGTCGCCTACCATGAAATCCATCCTCCGAAAGTGGATGATGGAGTGGTTCTGCGTATGTTCACAGGGCTGTGCAGTCACCGCTATGACCCAGTTCTAGCACACTTTTGGAACCCCCAGAATAAACTCTGTACCCATTAGCAGCCTCACCCCCACTCACCCCGCCCCGTGGAACCACAAATCCACTCCCTGTCTCCACGAGGTTGCCTCTTCTGGACATTTCCTGTAAATGGAAACCTGCAGCACGTGGCCTTCTGTGTCTGGCGTCTGTCCCTTAGCATCACATTTTCAAGGGCTGCTGTGTGCTGGCAGGTCTCAGGGCTTCAATTCCTTTCTGTTGCCTGATGTTCCATTGGATGCATGTACCATATTCTGTTTATCTGTTCCTCCTCGATGTGTTTATCGTCAATCAACTCCAAAGGTTTTTGTTGTTGTTTTTAAACACTGCTTGAGTTCTTGTATAGGAAACTTCTTCATTTATCTTAATGAAGTGTGTTCAGACTGTAACTTTGGAGGAAAAAAGCTCTATATATCCTTTCGGAGGATGTATAGATGGATTTGTTCTTGAGGACCTCCTTAGCCACACCTGGGGCCACATCTGGCCCCGGCCCCTCGGAGAATGGGGGTGGCAGTGGCCTGGGAGCCACCTCAGCCTTTTCTGTTTCGGTCCCTCCTTTCCCACAGCACCCCAGCTGCCGGCACCCTCCCCACCTGCAGGCAAGGCCCGTGTCTGCAGCGTGAGAGCTGGGGCGTGTCCTTGGCTCCAGCCAGCTTGGGTTCCTAGGGCCACCCACTCCCCGCTCGCCCGTGGCTGCCTGGGGCCCTGTCTCTGTTGGGGCAGAGGAGCATTCCTAGGTCTTCCGTCTCGCAGCCTGCCTCCTGCTGCGGCTTCTATCCATCAAACCCTTACACGTCTTGCGGTGCCCCCCTCATCTGTCATTTCCTCCAGGAAGCCTCCCGAAACCCTCTTCCTCTGGGCTCCAGCAAGACTCTCTTTATATGTCTGTTGTGGCCAGGGGGTTTCTTACAACATTTAATGACAGAAGAGGTGTAAGCACCGATAAAGCAGAACAGATGGTGTCAGTGCTAGGCAGGTGTTTACTCCTTGTTTGCTGGGTTCTTTCCTGGGGTCGGGCAGGGGATTCTGAGGTGTGGCCTCAGGCTGAGTTCCGTCTTGCTCGCGTGGGCCAGTTGCAGTAGAGCTGGCTCTGTGTCCGTCACTTTCCCATTTTCACCTGCATGTCCCCTGTAGCCTCTGCGCGTTGAGGTGCCTGCTCCTTGGTGCTGGGGGTACGGGGGGTCGTTTCCGCGTGAATCTGTGCGATTTGGTTCTTGCAAAGCCTAGCTCACTCAGCCAGATGAAACTACCCCCGAAAGGAACCCAGCTGGATGTGAGTCTTAGATACATGACCAGCTGGATATTACTGATGGCAAAGTGGGCAAAGAAGCATCCTCTGACCAGTGAAAAAATATGGCACCTACAAAGCAGTAAGAAACTCACCTGAAGGTGTTCACGTGCCCCAGCCTGTGTGGCCAGTGTTGCATCCAGGCTGCCCCCCTCTCCTCTCAATGCACTTCTTCCCAGTAGCGCTCCCCGTCTTGCCTCTCAGCTTCCCCTGCTTGGAGCAACTGTATTTTTCACTCTCTGTCACTCTCACGTTTGCTCCTTCCAGACTCTTGGGGGGACAGGGGTCTCACTGTGAGCACACAACATCAGGGGACCCCAAACGCGGCCGTCAGGATCACAGTTACTCCAATACGTTAAAAATAAAAAGGAACGCAGTTCCACGTTGAGCAAAATACCCAAGTTGTCAAGAGAGACAGCATCACCGAGATCCTTGTGAGGTCTCCTGCTGTCATCTCCCGCAGTGGAAATGCTCGTTCTGGGCCCTGGAAATCTCCAGACATGCACGGAGAGGCCTGGCCGATGCTCTCCCCAGTCCTGCACCCAGGAAAAGGGCCACGCCGGCCCAGATTCTTTCCAGCGTGCCCAGAACAGCCTCACCTGTGATGTGGTGGGCTGGGTACCTCCATTTCTGGCACAGTCTCTGTTTATGGGTTGTTAGATCAATAGTCACAATTTCTAGATGTGAGCTGAGGCTGTGTTTTCCCCTGTCTCTGTCTGTCTCTTCCTGTTTTCTAAGGGCTGCTACGGTGACATTAAGTAACGTATAGAAAATAATGTACTTCCTATTTTGGAGCCAGCCCAAGTTTCATCTCTGCTTGAGGCTCCTCCATGCTGCTCAGAATGGTGCTTTTTCTCAGTTAAACACAGAGTTGACTCAAAGGCCAAGCAATGGGGGAGCCATCCTCTCATGCTTTGTTTTCTAGGATGCAGGGAGCATCTCTCGGTCCTTGGAGATGCTGCCTGCAGAGTGGGGACTGGTGCAAGATGTCTCAGACACCTTCTCAGCAGAGAGTCGCCAACTCCCTACCCGCAGTGGGAGGAGTGTGCGTGAGCCTCTCTCTCCTCGGGGTGGCCGGCCCATGCGTCTTTTCTGGAGCCACGGATGTCTTCTCAGTTTCTGGCCAGGTCACTTGTGTTTGAGTCGGAGCCTCACTGTCTGAAGATCATCACTCTTTGTAAAGGTATGTGACCTGCCCCTGGGATGAGCATAGAGAAGATGGCAGCTAAAAAAAAAGCCTTTTTTTTTTTTTTTTTTTTTACCCTGTGTTCTTCATGATGTATTTATCTTCAAGCCCACGGTTAAGAAGAAATACTACATAAACCTGGGTCTGACCCGGTTCAGTAATTCTCTTGTGTGCCTAACAGCGCTGTTGCCATTTGTCAAAATATTTACTGCAGTTCATAGTGGCTGTCAGAAACCAGGGCCACAGTCCCTGTTCGACTAAACAAACAAACAAACAAACAAACCCAGACTAAATCTATAAGGAAATTTGTGGCTTTGTAAGCAGTTTTTTCCCATTGCTAGACCTAATTAAAATGAAGGTGTGAATGGGTTAGAAATATTAGTTGTTATGTGATCCCAAGAGTTTGAAAGACTGAGCATACAGGAGACTATAAATATTAAGGTATTTATTTGATACAGATCTTATTTATAGCAAGTCTGCCGATCACCCAAGGGCAGCATTTTTCAATGAGATTTACAAGGGCCCATGGACCCTGGACCACATATTTGGACACATACTTGGCTTCCCAGTGTCCAAAATAGCCGAGAGCGGGAGGGTCTGTCAGATAAGGCCTGGAACCATGTTCTGAGAGGTAGCGTGCTTCTCTGTTCCCGTAGCAAATCTTTCTGTAAGAATGAAACCAGAGATGTTATCAGCCGAAGTGCAGCAAGGGACAGGATGCAGGCTAGAAGAACGATAGCGTCGGCTGGCTGGGAAAAGCAGAGTAAACGTCAGGGCCGGTTTAAAATCATGTGCCTAATTCTTCTGCCCCAGAGATCTGAGCAGGCATTTAGGGTTGCAAGGCTGGGGTTAATTAGAGCGAGTGTGCGGTTCTACAGCGATTTTGGGGGCTGGGGGGCAGATGCTGAGGAGCCAAGGGGTGAAGACGTGTTTCCTCCATTGTACTTCTGCTGGGAGGTCCGGGGAGGGGTGCGGTCCTGGAGGGGGTTCCATGTGAGCAGGGTCACCCAGAAGAGCCCACATGATCACTGCCTGGTGGCCACCCCAGGAGCCCAACAGGCACCAGTCAGGGACCCTTCTCCTGGTATAGGTCATACACATGGGTACAGAGAACCAAGCTTGTGGAAGGGGATGCGACGTCTGTTTGATTAAGGGGGAAAACCTAACGTGCGGAGTACCTGCCACGCACACACCGATCACATCTACCGCGCTGTCCGATTTTCTCAAACAGCAGACATGAGCCCCACTTCTTAGATCAGGAACGCTCGGCTTGGAGAGGCTGGGTGGCTGATGCAAAGTCACGGGTTTGGTCGGTAGTGGCCGCCTCGAAGACACGCCTGGACTCTGGGTGTGCCGGCGTCCACGCCGCCTGCTGGATGTGGTGCTGTAGCCACGCGAGCTGTCCTTGCACGGCCGCACCTGGGGATTTCCGTTTGGGGCATCCGGAGGAAGCCTCTCCGCTCCGGCTTGCAGCCGAGTGAGGGGCTTTGCTTTAACCGCGGTGTCAGGAGGGCCACCTTGTGTCAGAGCCACCGCTGAGCTCTTCCATCTCTGGTAGCGAGGTGCCGTGTCCTTTGAACAGAAAGGCATGCGGGGAAGGAGGCCAGTATGGAGAAGGCCACGTCAAGCAAATGATGTGTGTGGCATCTGTTTCTCTCAGGGGAGCCCCGTGATGCTCCCAGCTAGGGGCGCAGTTTTAGGGAAACTACAGGTACCGCATGAAATACATCGACTCACACACCGCAGAGGTGGTTCCTGTTTCAGTTCTCTTTTTATTTATTTATGTACTCTTCATTATTTTAGTAAATTAGTCTTTTGAGATCATTGTAGACTCGCAGGTGGTTGTAAGGAATGATCCCACGTACCTTTCATCCACTTTTGCCCGGCAGTGACATCCTGTAAATGCCAGGTGCCCCTCATGGTCATGCTCCTTTTCTCCCGCCCTCCTCCCCTTAACTCCCAGTAACTACCAGCCTATACTCCAGTTGTACGATTTGTCAGTTCAAGGGTGTTACGTGAGGGTGTTGTATGTAAGCCAACTTGACAATAAATTGTATTTAAAAAAAGTGAATGGAATCGCACGGTGTGTCGCCCCCAGGGAATGCCTTTTTTCGCTCAGCGTGATTCTCTGAAGAGTCATTCCAATTGTTCTTTCTGTGTGTTCCTAGTTCGTCCCCTCTTACTGCTCATAGTAGTCTATGTTACGGATGCACCGCAACGGGTTTGAATAGTCATCTTTTGAAGGACATCTAGTCTGATTCCAGGTTTTTGCTCTTACAAAGAAAGCTGCTGTGAACACTCGTGTACGGGCTTTTGTGTGGACATAACTTTTTATTTCTCCAGGACAAATGCCCAGGAGTGGGGATTGAATGGTGGTTGCATGTTTAATTTTTGTTTTTGATTTTTGGTTTTGAAACTGCCAAGCTCTTTTCCAGGATGGCTGTGCTATCCTTGTTCACATGGCCAACGTATCCCCGAATTTCCACATCCTCGCCAGCGCTGGATGTTGTCACCCCTTCTGACCATTCTGAAACGTGAGCACTGGTCCCTCACTGTGGTTTTAATTTGCATTTCTCTGGTGGCTAAGGCTCATAATGTTGAGTGTTTTCTCATGAGCTTGTGGGTCTGTAGGAACTGTTTTCAGCATCTTATAAGGAGAGACTGTCACAGAGCAAATACTTTTCATTCTGATGAGGCCAGTTGATCAGTTTCCCTTCTACAGCCCACGCACTTGGTGCTGGGTCTGTAAACGCTTTCCTGTGCCCGTGATCCTGAAGATTTTCTCCCATGCTTTTTCCTAGAGCTTTATGGTTTTACATTTTCCATTCAAGTCTGTTTCCCGCTTTGAGTTAATATTTGTCTAAGTAAGGTACGAGGTTTAGGTTGACCTTTACTTTTTTGTGCCCTTTGGATGTCAGTTGCTGCAGTATCGTTTGTTGAAAAGGTTACACACTCCTCACTAAATTGCCTTTGAACCTTTGTTCAATATCAGTTGGGCATATTTCTGTGGGTCTATTTCTGTTTTCTTTTTTAAGGAAAATTCTGTGCTGTTGATCCGTGTGTCTGTTCTTCCGCTAACACAACACGGTCTTGATTACTGTGCCGTGTAATAGGGTTTCTGATCAGGTAGACTGATTTGATTCTTTCCATCTTACTATCTTTTTCCCAAATGGAGTTTTTCCAGTTCCTTTACCTTTTAGAGTAATCTCATCTACGCCCACAAGAAATCTTACCGGGATTTTGATAGGAACTGAGTTAAACCTGTGTAGTAGTCTGGAGAGAATGGACATCTTTACTAAGGTCATTTTTCCAGTCCATGGACACAGTGTCACTTTACATTTACACTTTCTTTGAGTTCTTCCATCTGTGTTTTGTGCTTTTCAGCATATAGGGCCTGTACAACCTTCACTAGATTAATACCTAATAAGCATTTTATTTTTCTTTGGGTGTTTATAAATGATTTGTAAGACTTTCACTGTTATTAGTTCTAGGAATTTCTTGGGGTTCTCTGTGTAGACAGTCATGTCATCTGCAGAAAGGACAGTTGTATTCTTCTTTTCCTATCCACGTGTCTTTTATTTCCTTTCTTGCATTATCACACTGTCTGGAACTTGCAGTACTGTGTTGAATAAGAGTGATAAGGGAGACATCTTTCTCTTATTCCCGATTTTAAGGAGGAAGTGTTTCATTTTTTTTTTTTACCATTAAGTGTAATATCAGCTGTAGATGTTTTGTAGATGCTCTTCATTGAGAAACTTTCGCTCTATTTCTGCTTTCTTAGAGATTTGATCACAAGTAGGTTTTGACTTTTGCGGAAAGCTTTTTCTGCAGCAGTCGATATAATCATGTGATTTTTCCCTTTTGTCCTGTGAATGTGGTAGGTGACATTGATCCATCCCTGGATGACCCTTGGCCATGGTATATGATTCTTTTCACGTCGTAAATCTGTTCGCTACTATTTTTGCAAAGGGTTCTACATCGGCATTTGTGAGGAATATTGCTCCATAGTTTTCTTTTTTGTACACACATCTTTGGTTTTGGTGTCAGGAGAATGCCTAGATTCATGAAATTAATTAGGAGGTGTTTCCCCCTTTTCTGTTTTCTCGAAGAAGTTGTACAGAATTGGTGTTAATTCTTTCTTAAAACATGTGGAATTCTTCAGTGAAACCATCAGGGCCTGGAGACTTCTTTTCTTGGAGTTTTAAAATTACAGTTTGCTTTATAGTAAGAGAGCACGCAAATGATCTATTTCATATTGGGTGAATTGTGGTAGTTCGTGCTTTTTGAGGAATTTGTCCCTTTTATCTAGGTTATCATATTCATATGAGTATCACATTTATTCACAGATTCCCCTTGTGTCCATCAGGTCTGTAGTAATAGCCCTGCTTCTCTCCTGATGCTGGCAATTTGTGTCTTCTCTTATTTTTCCTTTCTCAGTCTTTGTAGAGATTCTGAAGATCAGTCTTATTGATCTTATTGTTCTGAAAGAACAAGCTTTTCCATTCATTCCCTTTATTATTTTTCTGTTCCAGCTTTATTGATTTCTTCAATTTTCCTTATTATTTCCTTCCTTCTGCCTTCTTTGGGTTTATTATGCTTTTCTTTCGCTAGCATTTTGAAGTAGGAGTTTAGATTATTGCACTGTGGCTCTCTTTTTCTAACATAAGCCTTTAGCGTGCTGCATTTCCCCCTCAGCACTGCATTAGCTGCGTCCCACACATTCTGAGATGGCGTATTTTCATTGCCATTCATTTGGTGTTTGTTGTTGTCGATGTTACCCTTGACACTTCCTCTTTGACCATGTGGGTTACTTTGTGGTATGCTGATTTGCTCCAAGCGTTTGGAGATTTTCCTGTTGCCTTTCTGTTCTTGATTTTCAGTTTGATTTTATTCTGGGCAGAGAACACAGTCTGTATGATTTCAGTTCTTTAAATTTGCTAAGCTTTGTGTTATGACCTGGGAGATGACCTCTCCAGGAGGAGCATTCTGGGTCCCAT